GAGTTCTTGCATGTGTTGTAGCACAGTCTTCGCTAATTGAGCAGATCAAGACTCACCAGTTTGATGATCCACAGCTATTGGTTCTTCGAGAAATGGTACTACGAGGTGGTGCCAATGAAGTTACTATTGGTGCAGATGGTGTTCTGCGACTCCAGGATCGTCTATGTGTTCCTAATGTGGATTGAATGAGGAAAAAGATCCTAGAGGAGGCACACAGTTCTCGGTATTCTATTCATCCAGGTGCTAAGAAGATGTATCGTGATTTGAGGCAGCATTATTAGTGGCGACGAATGAAAAAGGACATCGTTGAGCATGTAGTTAGGTGTCTAAATTGCCAGCAAGTTAAATATGAGCACCAGAGGCCAGGTGACCTACTTCAGCAGATGGCTATACCATAGTGGAAATGGGAACGCATCACTATGGACTTTGTAGTCGGGTTGCCGCGGACCTTGTGGAAGTTTGATGCAGTTTGGGTCATTGTCGACAGGTTGATCAAGTCAGCACACTTTATTCCGGTTGTGACTACGTATACTTCATAGAGGTTGGCCCAGATATATATTCAGAAGATAGTTCGGTTGCACGGTGTGCCAATTTCCATCATATCAGATAGAGGCCCTCAATTTACTTCACATTTCTGGAGAGCAATACTGAGTGAATTGGGGACCTATGTAGAGCTCAGCACAGCCTTTCATCCGCAGATCGACGGGCAATCAGATCGGATAATTCAGATTTTGGAGGATATGCTCAGGGCATGTGTGATTGACTTTGGAGGTCAATGGGATCGTTTTTTGCCTTTGGCCGAGTTTGCTTATAACAACAGTTACCAACCCAGCATAGAGATGGCTCCATTTGAGGCTTTATATGGTCGGCGATGTCGTTCGCCCATTGGATGATTTGAGCCCGGTGAGGCTAAGTTATATGGTATTAATTTGGTGAAGGATGCCTTGGAAAAAGTAAAGTTGATTCAGGAGAGACTTCGTATAACACAGTCCAGACAGAAGAGTTACGTGGATCAGAAAGCACGTGATTTATCTTTTATGGTAGGTGAAAAAGTTCTCTTGAAAGTTTCGCCGATGAAGGGAATCATGAGATTTGGGAAAAGGGGGAAATTGAGTCCAAGGTTTATAGTCCCATTTGAGGTGTTGAAATGAGCCGGGGAGGTTTCCTATCGAGAGTTCATCCGGTTTTCCATGTATCTATACTCTGAAAGTATCATGCTGAACTATCACATGTGTTAGACTTCAGCACAATCCAGCTAGATAAGAGTTTGGGTTATGAAGAGGAGCCAATTGCCATTGTTAATAAACATGTTCGCCGGTTGAGGTCCAAGAGGATTTCTGCAGTAAAAGTCCAGTGGAAGGGCCAACCAATCGAGAAAGCTACTTGGGAGGCCGAGGAAGACATGCGGAGCAGATATCCACGCTTATTCAGCACTTCAGGTACAATTCTAAACCCGTTCATTAAGAGGTGAAGAATGTAATGACCCAACCGGTCACTTTTACTTTTAGAACCACATTCCCCTAAATAAAAACTCCTTGTATGTGTTTTTAATAAATTATGACTTGCAGGGATGGTTGGTTCGGGATTTGAAAATGTTCGGGTTGAAATTGGAACACTTGGTTCCTTAAGTTGGCCTTAAAGCGCTAAGTTTAACTTCGGTCGATATTTTGAGAAAAAGACCCCAAAATCGGGATTTGACGATTTCAATAGCTCCGTATGGTGATTTTGGACTTAGGAGCGTATTCGAAATTTTATTTGGAAGTCCGTAGTTAAATTAGGCTTGAAATGGCTAAAACAAGAATTTAAGTTTGGAAGTTTGACCGGGGTGTTGACTTTTTGATATCGGGGTCGGAATCCAGTTCCGAAAATTTTTATAGCTCCGTCATGTCATTTATGACTTGTGTACAAAATTTGAGGTCAATCGGACTTGATTTGATAGATTCCGACACTAAATGTAGAAGTTGGAAATCTTAAATTTCATTAAGCTTGAATTGGAGGATGATTCGTGGTTTTAGAGTTATTTGGTGTGGTTTGAGGGTTCGACTAAGTTCGTATGATATTTTGGGACTTGTTGGTATAATTGGTTGAGGTCTCGAGGGGCTCAGGTGAGTTTCGGACGGCTAACGGATCACTTTTGGCATTTGGGAGACTGTTGATACATACTGGTATTTTTCTTTTAATTTCCTTATACGCGATCGCGTAAGTTGGTCTGCGATCGCGTAGGGTAAATTAGGCAGAGGCGACTTTGTTCTACGCAATCGCGTGAGATAGTCTGCGATCACGTAGGCTTGTTTGAGGCAGTGATATTTTTGTTCTTCGCGATCGCGTGAATAGGGTTGCGATCGCGTAGGTGAGGGAATTTGGTATTCGCGACCGCGTGAAGGAGGTCGCGTTCGCGTAGAGTAAGTGAAGCAGCAGGGAAGGCCACGCATTTGTGCTTCGCGATCGCGTGAAATGGTCTGCGATCGCGTGGGCTTGTAGGTTTGAATTTCACGATCACGTGGCATTGTTTGCGTTCACGTAGGGTTATTTTCTGGGCAGTAAAATTTGTGCTACGCGATCGCGTGAGGAAGTTCGCGATCGCGTAGAAGAAATCAGTGGGCATGGAGTTTAAGTTCTGAACCATTTTTAATGATTTGGAGCTCGGATTTGGACGATTTTTGGGAGATTTTCAGAGAAAATAACTGGGTAAGTATTTTTAACTCAATATTGGTTAAATTACTTGAATCCATCACTATTTTTATCATTTAATTGGTGAATTGAGTTGGAAAAGTTTGAAAACCCTTTTGGATAGATTTTAGGGCCGAATTGTTATCGGAATTTAGTGATTTTGATATGGGTAGACTAATGGTTGAGTGGGCATTTATATTTCGTAACTTTCGCTGGATTCCGAGACGTGGGCCCCATAGACGATTTTTGAATTAATTTCGGATTTTCATTGAAAAATGTAGTATTTTCTTATAGAATTGATTTCTATAAATTTTAGTGATTGTATCGAATTATTTTGGCTAGATTCGAGCCATAAAGAGTTGGATAATCGTGGAAAAGGCCTTCTAGTGGATTAAATTGGAGCAAATTGAGGTAAGTATCTTGTCTAATCTTGTGAGGGAAAAATTATCTCATAGGTGATTAAATTAATAATTTCTGCTAATTGTGGGGGCTACATACGCACGAGGTGACGAGAGTCCGTACGTAGCTACTATTTATGCTAAAAGTCTAGGTAGTTTATGATTCAAACCATGAATTACTTGTGTAAATTGTATTCTTTGTTTAATTGAAAATTATTTGATATATTTATATATATTGTGAATTGTTAGGGAAAAATATTAAAAGATGAAAATCTCATTTGCTTAATTTTTCTGTTTAAATTAATTAATTGTTAAAGAAAATTATTCATCCTCTCGAATTGATCTTATAATAAATATACTCTCCTTCCGGAGGTACATAAAAAAATGTCCTCCTTTCTTGTGGAGCGGGTCGAACGCCTCGACAGGATAGATGCATCCACGGATCGCGCCGCACGTCCCTCGGCAGTGTACACGACACTCTGGAACGGGCCGTACGACCTCGGCAGTAATCGTGCCTAATAATAATAAAAATAATTATATGAGACTTTGATTTTTAACTGCAGCTTGTGGACTTAATTAATAGATTGGAAATTGTTGCATTTGAAGGAATCTAATTATTTCTGCTGGATAAATAAAATTATTGTTAACTCTGTGAAACATGTTGATTTAGATATTCTATTTTTATTTCAATTATTATTATTGACCCTTAGTGAGTGTCAAAGTCGGTCATCTCATCTCTACCACTTCAAGATTAGGCTTGATATTTACTGGGTACACGTTGTTTACGTACTCATACTACACTTGCTGTACTTTTTGTGCAGGACCTGAGGCAAGTACTAGTGGAGAACCTATCATCTTACACCCACGTTATCCAGAGGCGTAGTGGTGAGCTGCCTTTCTGAGCCGTTCTGCAGCTACCCGTGTCTCTTCTTGTATTTTTATTCTGTCTATTTTATTTCAGACAATATTTGAAGTTTTGTATAATCTACTAGATGCTCATACACTTGTGACATCAGGTCTTGGCACACACATTGGTAGAATTTGAAATTTGGTTTTATTTTTTTTGAATTTAAATTAATCGGTATCTTTTCTATTCTCTTTAATATTGCTAGTAATAAAATAAAATTATTTAGAAAATTTTTCTGAAAATAATTGATATATGTTTAACTTAATTGTTGGCTAACCTAGCTATAGTGTTGGGCGCCATCACGACCTATATGTGAAATTGGGTCGTGACAATCCAACTTTTAATTATTTTCATTTTTTGAGTTATTTTCATTTTCCTATTCCCCGATCCGTCTTCGCCACTAACATTCTTGCACTCCAAAATTTGCCTGCACACAGAATATCCACTGAATTTTAATTCACTATCTTATTCACAAACTCACCATCCACAATTCACAATCATCAAGAAGCTCATACACACATATTTTTCATGTATTTCTTCACCTGAATGCTGCAAATTTCCAATAGAAAGAGTCTCGTCCACCTCTCTTTACCCATGACATTGCAGTAGTCTCTTCTCAATTTTCACATCATCCATTTGACAGAAACAATTCTTGTGATTATTTTCTTATTCCAATTTCCGTTGGAATCTAATTAGTGGTGGATTTTGTGGGTGAAAATGAGAGAACAATCTTGCAATGATGGTTCTTGGGGGAGCAGAGGTGTATGTGGGAATTTAAAAAAATGGGGAAAAGAGGGGTTTGTGGCTGCTGGTTTGTTTTCTATGTTTTGAAAAATGGGGGTCTTGATATGGTTGATTCTGATAGAAAAATCACGGAAGGGGAAGCATAATGGTTGGGGCTGAAGATTATTATAAGATGTAATTAGGAGGAATTTATGAGTTTTGTTTAGGGAGGTGACTGAGGGAGAAGATGGAGATGAAGCTGACCAGGGTTCTGTCTAGTTTGTTTCTTTTTCTTTCTTTTTTTCTGTTTTGAAAAAGGAAGGGTTTTCGTTTGTTTTTTGTTTAAGTTAATGACACGTGTCATATCATTACTGGTTCGTGATATACACTTGTTGAAAAAAGTGGTCAAACGCAGAAGGAGAGTTTATTAGACCACTTTAAAAAGGTTAAGCGGACAAAGTAATTTTTGTCCTCAAAAACTAATTCAGGATAACTTATATAATTTGCCTTAAATTTTGGATTACTTTTAAAATTATAGCTTCAATTAGCAAAGGGTAAGTAAGAACCGAATTTCATAAAACCCGAATAGAACCGACCAATGGACGCCTACTCCTTTCCACCAAAAAAACAATTTATGAATTCACTCCTTAGACCTCAATGCCCCGATACTCATCGGTTGCGGTGGCTGATCCACTAAACAACAACTCAATCCCGATACCCAAATCCTCTGTTAACGTGGACGAGTATGCGCCTTCTATACCGCAATTTCCTTTAGTTCCAGTATTAATTGCATCACAGTACGAAGAAATTGAGGTTGAAGAAGCAACTAAAAACAGAGAAGAAAATAGTGAAGGATTAGCTCCACTCCACGAAGAAAATCATAAAAAAGGTTCGTTCTTTAAGAAATAAATTCCATTTTATTTATGTAGATTTTTTGGTGCTATAACTTTTGGGTGTTTACTATTTTGTGACTGCATGTCTTTAGTTTCGCTGTTTGGCTTTATTTGTCTTTTATTATCAAATGGACGAGCATATGATATATAGTGTACAAGTTCCAATCTTTATGATAAAATATGTTGGTTTCGATTTAGTAGTTGGCCCCAGTTTCTTTTGCATTTTTATTTATCATTTAATCACTGCTTTCCTGAAGCATGGTAAATTAATCTGAGCTGATTTTATGGGGCAAGTTCACCTGAGCCGAGGGTTATCAGAAACAGCCTCTCTATCTATATACTAACCTCCCCGGAGCCCACTTGTGAGATTATACTGGGTTGGTGGTTGTTTTTGTTGATTTTATGGGGCAAGTAGTAACAAGTTAGGTCGAACCCTTTGGCAGAAAAAAGCCTAGTAATTAAGTGGAGAAGAATAGAGGAGCAGGTGGTCTTCAGGATTTCTTGGTTATCAAAAATCGTTAGGGTAGTGTCACTTCGGTCATTGCGGATAAACTGACCTTACCATGTTTTTATTTCAGAATAAGCCTAGAGCTTTGAGAGGCAATTGTACTTGCTGGCAAAAGAATTTGGAGATTCGTTTTTCTGTTAAAACTATCCTTCATGATCGAGATTTAATCCTTGCCGCCTAAGAAATAGGGTGATTGGGGATATGGACCTGAACTCGGGACACGAGAGGGTTGTAGCATGTCGTAGGATGGTTGTTCTCGGCATGCTTTGGTGTTGATGTCCTACTTTTGTAATTGTTCCTCTTATAGGATTGGCTTATGCAATATATGCATCCAAATGGAGTAAACACTCAAAAACAGGGGGAAAATGGGCGAAACCCCACCGATTTGGGGTTGACTTCCTGTTTGTAGTTCCGTTACCTTCTTGACATTCCTTGTATGCCATGCTCGTTTGTTCTCCTCATTCTTCATGATTATTGTCATGATTCAGTCTTTTCGATTTTCATTTTGAATTGTTGAGTCCACACGTCAGCTATTTAGGTATGGGAAGGTCTCTTTATATGGTCTTAGACAATTCTCACTTCATGAACTAGCCTTTGACGTTTAGTTAGGCCCAAGTTTCATTTCTTTATTATGTTATTAGAGGAGGCCTATTCCAATTCTTGGTTTACCAATGTTGGGCCCCCTTATCATGCACACTCTAGTTGGCAAGCTTGGGCGTGCAAAGAGGGAAGGGGTGTTGAGTTCCCACATCAGATGGGAGGGTCTGTTTATATGATCTTGCACAATCCTGACCTTATGAGCGAGCTTTGAGGTTGAGTTACGCCCAAGGTCGGCATGTTGAAGACATAATTAGGTAAACAAAAGCGTCCTCTCTCCAATAGCTTTAGTTTTTAAATGAGATGGTCACACACTTCAAGATTGGAATCAGAGCAAGGTTTTTGGTTCTGAGTGTCACCGCCATCCGTTATCAAACAAAATTTCACGTGCTTGGCTCAGGATCGAGCCCACTTGTGAGGAACGTGTTGAAGACATACTTAAATAAATAAGATGTGCTCTCTCTAACAGCTTAAACTTTTAGATGAGATGGTCACACAATTCAACTTGAATCACAGATAATATAAAAAAGGACTTGCCCTGTGCACAAAGCATCCTGCATTCACGCAAGTGTTTTGAATAGCGTGCGGCGACAAATAGCGACGAGGGCTCGCTTCACTAAGGCGAGAGGCGAGAAGCGAAGCGCTCGCCTTTTTTATGTGAAGCGACAATTTATACAAAAGATTANCATAGTAGATTCATAAACTAAAACAAACAACATTTATTTTTCTTCAGGTTTGAAATAAAGCTCTCTGCCTCTGCCTAAAGTGAAGTTGTGAAGGAATTGAAAAACAAAAAACAGAGCAAAAAAAGAAAGAAGAAGAGAAGAAGAACAAAAAGAAAGACAGAAGTCAGAACAGACTAAAAACAGGGTGTTGCTTGATAAAAAACATAGCAAAAGAAAAAAAGAAGAGAAGAAAAAGAAAAAGGAAGAAAAAACAGAGCAAAAGCAGACTTTGTTCTGTTGACTGCTGCTTGATCAAAAGCAGAGGCAAAAAAAAAAAAAAAAAAAAAAAAAAGGA